GGGCTACGGATCGTTAAATGGGAAGCACGTGCTTCCGACGATTCAAGCGCCGTCGTTTTCCGACGAGCATTATAATATAATAAGAATCGGATTAGCATTGAATGAAGTGGGTGGTGGCGCGCGATAGAGCTCGAAGAGCGATAAAGGGACTAAGAAAAACCGGGGCTCTTTAAAGTGAGCACACGGGTGGTCCTTGTTCAACGAACGAGCCTCGACGGAATAAATAAAAAACGCGACTGCTCCATCGTGCTCCCCATCGCCCAGAATGGAGGGGATGATTCCTCTCGACTCAACGATCCTCATCTCGCGAATCGACGGTTTCCCGTAACCGAGGCGAGTCGAGGCATCCCGAAATCTCTATCCCGCGCGAGTGGCTCTCTACGGCTTCATCATCGCTGCGTCGATACTCATCCCCGTTTTCCCTCTAGACGTTAATTAAATTATCACGGACGAACTGCTCGGCCGAGCTTCGAACTTTAGACTCGAAGGTCTCGCGTGACGTTCCCTCTTTATATTCGGTCAACTTCTCTAACCCCCTCCCCCGACCCCTCCCGACCAACGTCAGGGTTGTCTTTTGTCGCTTGGCCCCGTTGGATCGAACTCCGTGGAACGAGACTTAACCCGCCGGAGTTTCGGAAACTAGCTTGTTTGGAGAACTTTCGGCGACGCGGCTGCGCATACTAATTGGGGAGTGTATATGGAGGGAATCGGCCCGGGGATGAAACTCGGGGAGAGTTGTTTTAGAGTAATTTTCCGGAAATGTTCGAGAAGCTTCTTTTCTTAGAGATTCTCGTTAGGGGATGGGACTTGGCGAATATTTGAATGTGTTACGGAATTTCACTTCGTTCTTGTAGGCAATATCAACCGTAGTCCGGGAAATAAGTATTGTTAGAGCGTGGTGGAACTATAAGCTGGAAACGGTTTTTACTTACAAGGGTATATCAAATAATAATCCTGGAAAATTGATTAAAATTAAAATTAAATATTAAAAATAAAATAATAAAAACGAAATGAAGCGTGTCTGGCTACGTACGGCCTTTTTCACTGTGGCAGTCAACGTGTTGACTTGTTCTACTTATTCCGTCATTAGATCGACTTCACGTAAGAGCACCCTAGTTTCCTGCTAATAACCATAAAAAAGGATGTGAATATATTTATAATTTTGCCTAATCGAGTTCTTTCCTAAAGAAAAACAGGATTAATAAATGCAATAAAATTGCAAATGATCAGAGAAGTTTTACGATCGCAGTCGCTGGTGTCATCCCCCGAAGGTTTCTCGTGGCTTTGCGAGCGTTTCACACCCCTCTCCACGGGACGTCCACGCGAAATAACGATCGCGATGTTGGTTGTGAGACTCGAATCGTTCCACTGGAAAAAAAATACATAGAGAGAGAAAAAAAAGGGAGCGTTTGTTCGTTCTCGAATCTACCGTTAATCGAATTGATGCGAGTCCATCCCCCTCGTTTAATAATTTCGCGTGTCGTCACGTATCCGAGGGCGTGCGTGCTTGGCCACAAAGCAACCCCACTACACAACCAACCGTGTATTTGTGCACGTACATGTGTGTGCACGCGCTCGCTAATAATCAGCCGCGGCATCTTCCGCCGATCGAAAACGGTCTGACACGCGTGTGTCACGACAAAAAGCGACGGAACGGCGACCGATAACGTGGCGACAATTTACTGAAAATTCGAACCTGTAATTCCCGACTCATTTGATTGCAACAAATGTTTCCCTCCCTCGTATTCGCGGAATCGCCGCGTGCACTGTCACTCTTGGTAGACACGGAAAAGAAATTTCAACCGCCGTATACCGTGTTTTGATCGGTGACGAGATTTATAGTTTAATCGTTCAATTCAATTCTGTATTTCGACACTACAACATTGTATTCGAGTTCTCGGTACCTATTTCATTCTGTCTTGTTAATCCTCGCGAAGATGAAAGATTAATCACAGTTGGCGAAATTGATAGCGATTTTATTGTATCTAGCTGTGAATAGTCTGGAATTCCACGAATGAACGTTCCGTATTTGCGCATGTTGCACGAATCCTGCCGCGTGTAATAGATTATTTACCGATTCCACGGGAGATTCACCAGTCTTCGAGTCGCTGCCCGAAATAAACCATCGACCGATCCTACGTGTACAAAAGAGAGAACGTCCTGATATATAAATAAATATTGATGAACAGGATTGGAATCGTAGTCGGGACAGTCGAGTTTAATCGTCGATTCATTATTCAGGGTTGCTGGTCGTTGAGATTGGTACAGTGATTAACAAGTAACATCGTTCATCTATATCCGTTTGACGCTCCGAAACCGAAATTTCCAAACTTTCGTCATAATCATTTAAACACGTATTCAGATCCAGCATCTTCAGCGAATATCCGATACTCGATCAGCTTCGAAACCTCGCCGCAACCTCCAATAGAATCGTCCTTAAGTGTATCGAGGTTAAACCACGGTTAACGATTACCAGACGCGTTCAGAAACCTCAAGGTGCACGCTTATTGCTAGCTTAATGCACCAACGGGCTTTCGTATAATCGGCTGCTGACCGAGCCACGGCGTTCTCCAGTCGTAACAATAGTCCGAGGCGTCGACGCTGGACCACCCGTGGTTCGCCATTAAAGTCGCTCCCGTGGAAAGGGTACGCTGAGAGAAATCGAGTTAGAGGGGGGAACAAACTCCTTCTCTCTTTCTGTCTTCGACAAAAAGAATGGGGAAAAAAAGAAGAACTGTTTGGGCCAGGGGGGTTATTCGGGAATCGAAACGAGGGTATGGGCCCCGAGGGAATTAAGAGTTGGAGGGCTACCGGAGGAGTCTCGACGTCGATCTCTCTGTAACGCGAAACTTCCTGGCGCCAAACGCCTCTAAGCCTTCGCTCTAATAATATCCCATTGTGCTACCATTAGCCGCCTCTCGCGAGGCTTTCCTCTCCGTCCAAACTCCTTCTCTCTTTCTTGCCCTTCTCTCTTTTCCATTGGACCCAGTCCTCTCTCGCCTTCACGCGAGCGTCTTTACGACGCGTTTTGCAGCGACACCTCGAAAACGTTTTATCCGACTCCTCCCTATTGGTGTGCATATCCGGTCTGGCGTTTCTTCGTTAACTCGCGTCTCTCTTTTACCGTGCACACTGGTTGTGCTTGCAACAGTGTTACTAGATTTGTGGGTATTAAGAGTACTTTGTATGGAAGTTCGGGAAGCGTAGTTTGGGTTTTAATTTTTATTTTTTTGGCGATCTTTCAGCACGTTACTTGGCGTGCTTCCTTGGATTTTGTTTGGAATATTTTAGGTAACTGTGTGAGATATTTCTGTGGTAATCAGTATGTTGAAGGTCGTGTTGCGACTTTAGTTAGGAATTCGTTCTCGTGAGGTGAATTAGTGATACATTGATCTTCTTAGCGAAATGGTTGTGGCTGAGAATACGTCGATATTTGTGTGAAATTTATTAACAGTACTACAAACTCTGGTGATAGTGTTTATGTGTGAAAATCTAAATGGGCTGGGAGGCTGATAAAATGGGTCGAAGCTTCCGATTGAACGAGAGGGAACATATATTCTGGTTTGTTCAAGAAGATCTGGTATAGAAATAGAATGGTTGGACAAGATGACCATTTGACGAGAGATATGACCGTGTCGGTACGCTCGATTGTTGCTTTTTCGTGGCGCACCAATGATTCGCGTTCTCGTGGGTGTAGCTCGATTAACGGATCGTCAGTCATTCGTCGATGGAGTGATTGATCCATGCATTCCTGACCTCGTTCCGTACATATTCGCGAGAGATCGTCGTTTCCGATGATGGATCGGCCGATTTTAATACGACAGGGTTATTTGCATAAATTGCGTCATGGCCGCGAGTGGGACGCTGGGATTGTGAGAGACGAGTTTCGGTCTGAGAAATGGCTGTACGAATGCGATGTTACGTGTGATCGAGAGTGTTTTACAAATTGAATAGATCGATACCGATAGTATTAATCTTCAGAAAGGATCGATTCAAAGTTTATTACTCGAACTTCGTCCATGTATTTTCGGTGTAGAATCGTAACTTTCGTATGAAAACTATAAAATTGAACGACCAGTTCTGCAATAGCTTGTATGTATAATTAATCGATACTCTTGTCAATAGACAGTCTAGGTATTTAGAAATACCGAGCTGAAAATTCTTAACAAACGGTATACGCATTCTTGTATCTTTCATGGTACATATATTTGGAAGGTGTGTAAGTACATCGTGAGATCGTGTTGGCAGTTTATACACAATGTCGATCCAGAGACTACATTCTTGGTGACGATCGTCGTTTACAGTCGATCAATCATTGTTTTAAAAGTTGTAATGAAAACAGTACTCTCTTGTCGCGTGATGCGACGGAATTAGATTGAACACTAGAATCTGAAGTATTCTTGTCACCGGCTGTGCGACGATAGCAGCCGCAAAAACATCGTGGTAGACACATTCAGTCGTCTGTTCTCACTACTTCTGACGTCTGTGATGTTGTTTCTGATCTGCTTCGTTTTACATTTTATGGAGACTCGTGGTATGATCCGACTGGTTTCGAAATACACGTAGAATAAACGTGTTTATATTAGTGAGCATTAATCTTAGAACATTCTGTCTGGATACCGAACTTCGAACAGAATAACTTTCGTCGTATCATTACACGAAATAGTATTCTTCTCTTGCCTAGTCAAAGCAAAAGTTAATCCTCGTTAGAATCAAGACAATAGAAGCATCTTACAAAATCTTTCTTTTTTATCTCAGGGTTAAAATTCAATCTCAGTAAATTACGTAGGTACTATTGCCCCAGTGCAATTTTCGAACGATTAACTTTCCTTTCAGCACTACAATTAATTGAGCAATAATACGAGTATAATATTTTCGAATTATAATCATGATCTTACCAATGAAATCTCCCTGAATACAGTTAAACTGTAATCAGCACTTCTAATACGTTACATTTTCCACCCTTCGCCATAATAATCAATCGCTCGATGGCATTGCAGGGAAATCCGTACGGATTGAAGGACACGACGGGGATGGGCATGACGGCGGATATGGGTGCTGCATGGGGCACGGCCGCCCTTCAACCTGCTGCCACGGGTTACTACCCCTACGATCCAACCCTGGCCGCCTACGGGTAAGTTTATCACCAGGTTTCATGGTCTCTCGGCTCCATTAGATTAAACCACCATCCACTCTCTACTACTCTCGGTCTCTCTCTTCCCCTCCCTTTCTCACACCCTTACTCTGTCGGTAGTGGTGCTCAGTGCCGCCATTAAAACAAGAGTCACGATCTCGTACTCGCTACACATATCCCGTCAAGGAATGGTTATCGTTATCGCGAATCCGTAATATCTTTACCCAGACCGCGTAACCCGGAGTGCCAGACAATTTTCGCCTGTTCAAGCGTATATGGGAAAGACGATTGCCGTTTCTCGGCTGACGGTCGCGTTCCGAACGACCTGTAAACGAGAAATATTCCTATTTAGATGGATCTTTCTTTCGGGAAATCCGTTGATGCAACGGTGTTTATACGGAGCATAGAATTCTTGTTCTCGACGGAGGATGAAGGAAATTAGTTCGCTCAGAATGAAAGTCTACCTCGTAGTTTTATCGGATCGCATGATGTCCTACAAATTGTCTGCAATATTTTTTCTAATGATATTTGAGAACCAGATAATTGGATAAAAATATTAACGTAGTGAATATTTAGACGTCGGGAGTTGAATGTTTCGGTTTTTATATGTATATGTACTATAAAAAAATGACTTACGTCCTGATTTATTCTGAAAAGAAAATCGATCTTAAGACTGTTTGTTCACTCTCCTGAAAAAGAAACACAAACGTTAACGAAGGGCATTTTTTGTTACAAGCCCGTTAAATAGAAAGACACGTCAGAAACGGCAACGCGTGACACCCAGCAACAACGTAAAACAATACGTGTAAAACTCGGTGTGATATCGTTGTCACCTCCGCGACTTCCAAGTCCCCTTAATCTCATTCGTTCCCGTCAGGCTTTAAAACTGCGCAACGTGTGACGCACGCTCAGTCAAGGTAGGCGACAATTAATCCGTAAGAAGGGTGACGAGCAAACCGGATGCTCGTTCTTCCTGCTCGTGGATAAGAGTTACGAGGGTGCTGTCAACACGAGGACCCTTGTACTTCATCTTGCCTAAGGGGTGGGGTGGGGGTATGGGAGAAAGGCGGGAGCGTATCGACGGCGTTGAAGAGGTCGTCACTTAGGACGACACTCCGATCCCGTAAACATTGTATCGGGAAGTAAGTGATTCCCCCACCCGTCAACTCTGGTCCGTGCCGCGTATTTTCGTTGCAGGATCCCGGTGTTTTGATTAATAATGGCAGCCGCGGACCAAAAAGCTGACGGGCGAATTTACGACGGGAATTTATTTCGGGTGAACGCCTCGACCCGCGGAACCTCGACGTGTTGGATCGCGATACACCGGCGATATATCAAAATCTGCCAGAACGAGGGAACGATCATTTATCGGGACGGAATTAAAATTAAAAAAAAAAAAAGAGGAGTATAATAAAACTAGAAAGTTTGTCGATCCGTTGCAGACCATTTCCACGAGAGTTTAATACGAAACAACTTTAAACGGAATACAACGCGATATCGTGACACCTATGTTCGCGATTTCTGTCGTGCATCGAGCATATAAACCAGGTCGAACATGCTTTCCTCGCGAAGGAATATACAAAAGTGACAGAAGCACGAAAAAAAGAAAAGAATATATCACGATTCGTATAACCCGGTAACCCGCATGCGATAATTGGAAAGCTGGCGCCCGCTATGGAAACCTCCTCCGGTTCTCGAAACCGCGGCTCGGTTTCGTGGGAATCAGTTAGAAGGGCTATTTTCGAGACGACCATGTGTCGCGTGCCGTTGACAAAATGAGACATCGACGTAGATTTTCGACGCCGTCCGGACGGTAATTGGAAACACTTGGCCTCGCCTCGAATTTTTCTTCCGTACCATCGTAAATCTGTGAATCCCTTCGTTCTTTTTCGAAACCAGCAGCGTTCGCCCCCTCCGTTTTCATATTGCGTTTCACACGCGACGCTCCATAGACCTTTGTCCGTACGTTTCCTACCTCCGACGATCATCGGGTGAAACCTGGACACAGAGGGAGAGAGAGAGAGAGAGAGAAAGTTGTTATCGGATAGGATAAAAATCGCTAAACGGGAGGAGGAATTCAATATCGGAGTCTAGAGAAGCTAGCCTACTCGGTTTCCTTTGATCTCGCCCGAAACTACTCTATCTCCCCCCTCTGTCTGTCCTCTCCTCGTCAGACGAAACGGTCTCCCGATATACCTTAGGGGGGGTCTCGAGGGGGATGAGAAGAGGGCACATCGAGCCCGAGATTCCGAGTGAAACCGTGCACGGGGAACGGTTACAAAATGGCTGTAGGCAGCGGCAGAGTGGGCGTACGTAATGGAGGCTTCCAGGTTGCCTTGTATATATAGTCGCATCGCGGAGCGTAGGGAGAGCAGTAGGTCTCTCTCCGTAGAAGAGCGAGTGAGTGAGTTTATTGATTGGCTTCCTCCCCGGGGTTGGCTCGCCTGTTCGCCAGGCCTCTCTCTATATTCCCTCACGTTCTCTCCCTCTCTCTCTCCCTCATTCCTCGTTGCTCTTCGTCCTTCAACCGTTTCCATCTCTCTTTCTCTTCCTCGGTCCGCTCCGTTTCCCCTGCCCCCGTCTTCCTCCACCTCTGAACGGCGCGCGGGCGACCTCCTTCCACCCTCGAAAAGCGAGCCAGCTCCCACAGGTGCTTTACTTACTTTGCTTAGCAACCCCCGTGTCCATGCACACACAAACACACTGTCGTAGTGTTCACGCGTATATATATATACCGTCCAGCTCACGCACGGGCTTTGATTCTCTGCCATTCACCTCTCCACACACCTCCACTCCCCTCGTCTCTACCACCAACGGCTACACACCCCCGTTACATTGGACGGATCCTCCCTCGTGGAACGCGTGTGCGCTCGCCGCGTACAAAACTCCGGACTCTGTGTAGGCATTGTTTATCGTGGAATCCACCCTCTCGTGTTCACCCTTCTCGCCGCTCTCTCGGAGCCTCTATTAATTTACTTGCTTAATAATACGACAACCCTCTCTCGGCCCTCTTCATCCCTCCGTATATTTGTCTCGCGTCCTGCTTCAATCTTCTCGCTGACGATCCGTCTCTCTTTCTATGTCTCTCTCTCTCTGTGTGTCGTCACTTTCGTCGTCGACGGGCCGCTATTGTTCCGTGGACCTGGCCCTCGACTGGTTCCGTGACTCGGGGCACTCGGAGAGCGGCGGAGGTCGGTTATAAACCGAAGCGGCGTCGATTCGAAACCGGCCGACGGCGACGACGGGAGCGTTCTGATTACGGGAAATGAGAAATACGTCGTTAGCCCGCGGCCACTGGCTGGCCGGGACTCCTTTGGGAATCGTGCCCCGGTCTGTCTCCTTTCTTCCGTGACGCTGACTCCTGAAGCCCCGCGCTCGCCCGTTCTTTTCGAGCCCCCCGTTAGGTCACTCTTAATTGCTCGTCGATAGTTCGGAGTGGTGTGGGATCCCGTCGGGGTTTTATTCGTGGAACCGTGGGGAAATCGTTGGGCTGGCGGTGTGTGTCTCGGACACTCGCTGGTTCATTATAAATGCCGGGTTCGTTGAAAGATTCAGTCGCTTTTCCTTTCTTTTAGTCCTGGAATTAGAGAAGTTTATCTCCCGTTTTGGATTTTTCTTGTGTTAATTGTTTTGGTAACTGTCGTATCGTGCGATTGTCGCAAGAGATTATTACTTCATTATTACTGGATTGCGGATTGTATATGCATTTATAGTCTATATTACTCTGTGAAATACAGTAAAGACAGAACTTTCATCGGATACAATGAGTTTTGTATTTTATACTGAAATCAATGAGATATTTAAGAAAACAAGAAATCGTATATTTGTTCTTGTCTGTACGAATATGGCATTTGTATTATGAAATGTCGTTTTGCTATCTGGGGATTGAACCAAAATAGAACAAAGTGCAAGACAGTTCGGCCTACAATTTCCTTTAAATCTATACGTCAGGAATAACTCCTTGATAATTCTTGTTTAAACAGCGTTATCAACGACTGCTCACCAGTTCCGAATATTTCGCCGAATAATTTTCCGTGAAAACCCCGCGAAGCCCCCGTCGCAGATACGGACACGGTAAAAGTCTCTGCCTCCGAAGCTTTCCCCATTCGCCCGCGCCATTTTTCACGGAAGATCCAGAGACACCCTCGCCTCCCCCATCGTATCCTCTCTCTGCTCGTCGTTTTTTCTTTCGCCCGTTCGCTCGAAAGTACCCGGATGTTACGGCGTTGAATAAAGAATCGCCGGATGTCGGATTAAAAAAAGGAAGAAGAACCGGTCGATCTTCTTCGAGAAAGACTCCGACCGAAAGATCGTCGAACCTCAGCCCGCCACCATCGTTCTCCGATGAATATTTATACGGTCCGTCTGTACGTTAATTGCCTCGAAAGTCAATTACCACTCTTCCGCGCGCGATTCCCGAGCGATTCTCTACCGATCGATAAACGTTGTCCCCGCCGTTAAACGATGAAACGCGCGAGCGATTCGTCGTCGAACGCCATACCTCGAGCTAACTCAATTCTGACCCAAATGCGGCGATACCGCTTTTTACTCACTGCCGTGTCAGATACAGACGTCTACTATGGATATAACGTGAAACCAGGAGTTTTTCCTATGACTCGATCGTCCGACCGGTTGCCGTCTCGATTTTTCTCCTCCCATCCGCGGCTCGGCTCGATCGGTATCGCCTCTACAAGAAAAATCTCGCCCCCTTTTCTAATCGGGCCTGCGGAACAGGAAAAACCGAGATCGATCGGCTAATGGACCATTCTAGATATCGACAATTTTTACCCCGTCGTCGTCGTCTGCCGGAACACGTGTCCCCGTCGATATTATATCGCGGTGCAAAGCACACCCAGATTGAATAAATTGAACCTGCTGGCGGCACTTTCTCCGTCAGTTCTTGGATAATCCGACGATTTTCTTCGTTCCAGCGGGACTAGGGATCGTGATATCGATCGTCGAAGGATCGTTTCACGGGGGAACTTTCACCTGATCGACAC